TAAATAAATAAATAAATAAACAGTATAAAAAAATATGACTCCCACTTACGCTTCGCGTGCGGGGGTCATAATTATAAAAATAAATGGTTGAATTCATCAGTCTGGCTGAGCAGAGTATTATTTAAATATTACTGTATAGAACATCATTTTATGTCATCTTTTTGAAACTTTGGAACAAATGTATGCCCTTTTCTATAAACACTATCTGAGCTGTAGAAAAAAATCCTCTCAGTTTAAACAAGCTCTTATCTGATGTGGCTTCTATTGGACTTAAAACAACCACTCAGAGTTTTGGTGTCTGATCGATGTCACYGATTAGCGTCACAGCTCACTGGATTGATTCATTATTTGATTCAAAACGTTTGTTTCTGCCTATCTAACAGCTCTGTGGATCTTTTGCAGCAAAGCATATAAAGTAGCCAATAAAAAAGAAGCTAAACACATTGGAAACAGAGGAGCAAGACTGTTTATGTTGAAGTGTAATAATGTAGCAAACATTACAAAACACAAAGGCAGAATAAGGGTTTTAAATATTAACCTCATCACACAGATTTTAAAAAGGACAAAGAGACAGATGTATTGATGATTTCAATAACTTGGCAACGATATTCTTTGGCCAGGCAGTGTACTTTAGATTCTTATGAAGACAAAGTGGGCATACAATGTAAGAACAAATGTATTCTTTGTTAGTTTGAGTTAAGACTGTGGCAGTATGGTTACCTTTGGGTCCAACCTTGGCGAGCAGCGAGTGAAGCTGCAGCATGAGTTCCTCACTGGGAGGAAACTCTTTACTGGCAGTGATCAGAATCTGGAATAATACTCCTGTTCCTCCCTTGGAGACAAACACTCCCACTCTGCGCCCTCTGCCTAAGACCCCAAAACCAAGAATAGAACAGCATTAATTGCAATGAAACTTAATTCAGGACCAGGATTAGAACCACTTGGCAAATGATTCTAAAATTTATAGCCAAATGCCCTTTTTAATTGGAGAGTTTCATTTAAAGTTTCATGATTTAGTAACATGAATGCATTTAAATGCAGGTAAATGCAAAAAAGCAAAAAAAAAAAAATTGACACCATASTTGTTTATTTATTTATTTTTGGAAAAAAAATTAAGATTAAAAGACAAAAAAAGTCTCCTCACCGATAGCCAGCAGCTCACTGAGAATGTACAGAATGTTCAGGGTAGTCTGGACATCTCTGCTATTCTGCCAAAGTTATAAACACCACACTTGTTAAAATAATATATACAGTACAGCAAATTGCTCAAATATGTAGCTAAGCCGTTTCATCTTATCTTTCTTAGGTGATTAATGCGACATCTGCTAAAGAGGTCTACTTTTAGTGGAGACTGTCAGCCTCTAAAGCTGAGCTGGAAGCATGAATCAATAGGCTCAAATGAAAGTCTTCGCAAAAAAATAACAGTGAGGACCATTTCAGGCAAAMCTTGAACCATTGATGCTTTCAGCCTTACCAAAGAAGACAGATTTTATGTGTTGTTTTAATAACTACACAAGTTTATAGACAATAATTTGCATCATACTTGGTTTTCATCTGGTAAAAGACAAAACTTGTATCTCAGGCTGCAACTCAAAATTCTTCTTAAGTTTACYGGCTTTTAAAGCCAGTTGCACTCATTAGAAATTACTCTATTCAAWTGCTGATGTAACGTAAAAAAATGTTTTGTAGCTGGTGTGTTACAGAGCGATCACATGGTTAAGTTGCGTTAATGTGAACTGACCTCCAGTGAAGCCAGGATGACTTCCATTCCAGAGGAGCCTTTGGACATCACTTCTTTTCCACTCCTCTCTGTAGCACAACACAAACAAGCCAAACTGATCAGAAATGTAAAGAGCAAACAATGATGTCTGTCATTTGTAGAATCTGTGAAGACCACCATTGAAAAGGCTCAATATGAGACTGACTACCTGAAATAAAATAAAAAAGTGATTAACTTCAAGAAGGAAGGGATTAATGTCTGGAAGATAGTTTCCAGCTGAATACTTCAAATTTCAACATGAAGGACTCGTATTCGAAAACATTCACAGCAATGTTTCCAGTTGCCACAACACAGTGCAGAGAAGCTCCCATTACAGCAGACAAACAGGGAAAGTGACTTCATTCTCTGGTCGGGACTCCTTTAATCCATTGTATCTTTACATAGCAAAGAGCTGTTTGCTGCTATACTCATTTTTTAGAACGCACATTAATGTGTTTTTGACAAAACAGTCAGAAAAGGAGAGGATCTTGAGGACTCATAACATTTTTTGTCCACCAAACAAAGTTTGTTGTGTACATTCAATGATAACGATTTCAGGAACACAATAGATATTTTCCTAAATAAAAAGTGAGCAAAAATATGTGTAATAAAATCTGACTTATCCGTGATATTTTCAAAAATTAAAGATGACTAAAGCCATAGCATATATATATAT